ATGGTCAATAAACAAACTGTTGTAAGTCGAGGACTACCTGCAGCCCTTCAATATTTCCTTTGTATGACGGTATTCTTTTATTCTCAGGGCTGTTTTTAAATTATCCTGGGCATTTCTATTGATCTACAAAACTGACCAACAGAACTGAATTGTAGAAAACCATAGGTTCAGAATATGATCTTTAAAGTGAAGATTTTTCCACAAACTATTTTCAAAGTTTGTTGCCAGTTTGAAATGTTTCTTTGGATTTTCTGGAGCAGTGAGTAGCATCAGTTGATGGTGCTGACATGGTAAGAAAAAGTTGGTTGTTGTTGATGAATTTGAATCAGAAGGTCACTGTTTACAGACAGGTAGACAACTGACATATCGCAACAGAGATCATTATTCATCCCTACAAATGGCATAGTAATTAGAAACCCTGCAGTTAGCCTGTGATAAGAAGGGTGCTTAATAAAAATAAATATTATTCTTTACAGAGTTCATGACATTTTCATAGCTCAGCACTATAAAGAAGATGACAGGTGCCTGATAGCCTAGCTACTCTGAGCGGCCAGTATTGCGATTAAGCCCATTTTAGAACTTGACTCTTGTACCCAGCTGTTATCAGGTATAAGCTCTCAGGATGAAGGTTAGCCAGATATCATTCCAAAATATTTCATCAGCTCAGTAGATCCTTGAAGCATTGTGAGGGGAAAAGGAAGGAACTTGTTTAGAAGTTGATTGCACATTTCCTATCCTTGTATCCTGAAGTACTTTTACCGTTCCCCAACTGATAAAACTTACATGGACTCACTTTCATGGAGCTTTAAAGCTTTTATTGGCTTGTCTCATGCTAAGCTAAGAATTTTCCCAAGGAAAATGGTCCTTTTCTTTTAACAGATAGCATACTTCTAACTGGTGAAATACTGAAAAGAAAATTAAACAAACACAAAAGAAAAAAAACAGTAGATGCCAATTAGGGCTTGATAATACTCTTGGAACTGCTGTGAGAAGAATGAAGTTGGTTTAGCACAGGATTTTTTTCATGGCATCATAATCAGGGGTAAGCCAGTTATTCTATTGTACTATGCATGTGTAGCCACAAGAAATAATGTGCCTCAGATCTCTGCCATTAACAAATTGAATTGACAGTTTAGCTTAATGTTTTAGTATTAAATTTTAAGGTCACCAAATAACACACAGATACGCACACGCTTACGTACATGTACTTACATATATACAGACACCCCCCCAAGTACCACCCAGATATTATATTTTCATCACTAACACATCTTGACTATTTATGTTTTTATTTTATTTATTACATTTTTATTGTGCTCATCTCCCCTACAAGGAAACTCAGTGTGTGCCCATGATATGTATAAACAAACTAATGCTGGTTATATTGTCCTGAGGTAAGAAATTCACTTTTCCATCAGTAAAGTATTCAAGGCAAGATAATAATACAATTTTGGGAAAATAGACTTACTTTGATGAAACCCTTCTGAATATTCCATAAAATAACATTGTTAAAAGTGAATATTAATTGCAAAAGAACAGTTTGCAACAGCTAAAAATTTAGAAGGCCATTTAGTTATTTTCTCAGTTACACATTCAGTAACTGCCAATTACTTACCATTCCAATAAGGGTAGTGGTTAACACTAAGTACAATTTTGAGTCTGTAATCTTTAAACATTTTTATAGGAAAGGCCTTTCTTAGGAGACTGTAGTGGAATTTACATCAAAAATGCAGCTCTAGCAGCCAGCCAAATTATTTGTGTAAAAAAAAAAACCAAGTGTAAACTCAGCAATCAGTAAATCAAATTAAGGGGTACTCTTAAATAAACTGACTTAGGAATTGAATTTTACCAACTTCAGTCCTGTGCATTTGTTATTAAACAAGTTTAGTGCTAAATTGTCAGATTACATGTGTCTAACCATTCCTGTTAGTCCACATGGACTGTGCTTAGAATTAAAACGTGGCAAAGTAAAACATATTTGAGTTCAGCTAACATCTGGGGAAACAATTTGAACAAGTCCAAACTACGCTGTTTTTGTGTATCTTCAAAAACTGACCATTTTCAAGTGACACAACCATAAGGATTGATTCCTCCCCCCAGACCAGCATGAATTGGAAACAGCCATCTGCTGCTTGTTTTAAACCTGCTATGTCATTTACAGGATATTTATAAGCACAACTAAACCAAGGGACTCCATGACACGTAGGTGTAAGTTCATAACAGCCCTGCTGAATCAGTCCAGCCAAAAGACTATATAGCCTAGTATTTTGTGCCAAATAATAACCGATAAGGCAGTGTTTCCCAAACTTGACAATTTTAAGGCATGTGGACTTCAACACCCAGAATTCCACAGCCAGCAACGCTGGCTGTGGAATTCTGGGAGTTGAAGTCCACATGCCTTAAAATTGTCAAGTTTGGGAAACACTGCGATAAGGTATGTTCAGAAACGTTCAAAACAGGATTCCCTTCTTCCAGTTTGGCTCTCGAGAGCTAGCATTTAAGATATGCTGCTTCAGGAGGCAGGTCCTATTTAAATTTGCAGAAGTACCCCACAGAAAACACAGTATACATAAAATAAAGTTACAGATATGATTGCACAAGTGGATGCATTTCTCTTCTGGTTCAGGGGTCCCTAACCCCAGGGCTACGGCCCGTTCTGAATAGGGCTGCACAAGCAGTGGATGAGTTCGCTCCCGTGCGAAGCTCTCTTGGTGTAAATGGTAGGCGCGCACACGCGCACTGCTCACACAAATGGAGCAGCATACACTAGCACATGGGCCCAACGCTTGCACAAGTGAAGCTTGTGAGCGCCTTCCGCTTGTGCGGCCTGGAACCATCCCCTCCCCCCCCACCCTTACCGCCGCTGGTCCGCAAAGCCAGAAAAGTTTGGGATCGCTGCTCTGGATGGTTTTCAAATGCAACTGCAGAATTTTTTTCTTGCTATAGAATTGTCATGTCTGATTGATCCATTTGATTTCTGTGAATAAGGCACCCAGACTTTTTTCTTCATTTTGGGACATTTGTTGCAGACTTTCCCAAAATTGTTCTAGAAGATTGTGTTTCAAAAAGCCAAGTTATCTCACGGCCCACGGGAACTACTGTCTAGTGGTTCCTTACCTTAGAAACTTTGAGGGAGACGTTTTGTCCTTTTTTGGGGGAATAAATTCTGCTGCTGTTGTTGTTTTCTTCATTTCTTTCCAACTGCTTTCCAAGAATCCAACTTCATAATTCTCTTTCTTTCTTCATGGCTTCCAGTTGCTGTTTTCTTATTTAACTCCACTGTGGTACCCTAGAGGGGGCTGCAGTGTGCTGGCTTCTTCCTGACAGCCGTTGTTTGCTGTTGTTGGCTTTCGTCTTTCTGTACTTGGCTAGCTTTTTCCTGATGGGAATTGTTGCTCTCTCTTTACACATGCACTTACATGCATTCTATGTATACACATACATAACACAAAACCTTAGTGTCCCATGAGCAGAGCCATACCTTGTTGCACGTTGTCAGGAAAATGAAACCTTCCTTCCTTTATTGCTTCCTGGCTATACAAGACTTCATTTGTCTGCCTTTAAGAATTATGGCAAAATGGAGGTATTTAATTATCAAGTGCTCCAACTTTGAGAAAGGAGAGGGGTGACTTGGTATATTTGAAACTCCAGGACTGGAGTTCCTAAATTTTTTTTCCATCAAGCCTCCCTTTCGTGTAATGTTAATGTACACACCTCTAAAAATCCAAACACACAATCAAAGAATATTGAAAACAAAACACTGAAACTTTGGGAAAGGTGGATTTATTTTAACAATGTAACTAAAAGGTTTTTCACACCTCCTCTGATCTCTGTCTGCACCTCCCCAAGGGAGCTATGCTTCACATTTTGGAAAACCCTGCTCTAGGTTGATAAGAAGGGTTGTAACTTAGAAATAGGGCTAACATATGTGGGCTGCAGAACCCCAGATGATCACCGGATGGCAATAAAGTTGAGAGTTCTTTGTGTCTATTTGCTGCCCCTAGTAGTTATTTGGATTTCTTTTGCAATTCATATTTAGTTATGTATAGTTTAGATGTATAAGGCCACTCAGCTCAACACTGATTCTGGACAGTGTAGAAATTGGAAACAGATATAGTACTAAAAGCTTAACAAAAAATAAACATAATGGTGAAGGAACTAGACATACCCCCATATAAGCAGACATTACATGCCAGATGGATATATCATATGTATGTATTCTATTCTATTCTATTCTATTCTATTCTATTCTATTCTATTCTATTCTATTCTATTCTATTCTATTCTATTCTATTCTATTCTATTCTATTCATGTTTAGTATGTATTTATATCTTACCTTTATTATTTTTATAAATAACTCAAGGCAGTGATCATACCTAACACTTTTTGCTTCTCCTATTCCCCCCTCAAGCAACAACCTTGTGAGGTGGGTAGAGTTGAGAGAGAGAGAGAGAAAGAGTTACAAACCCAAAGTCACCCAGCCAGCTTTCATGCCTAAGGTGGGACTAGAACTCCCTGTCTCCCAGTTTCTAGCTGGGGCCTTAACCACCAGACCAAATTGACTCTCATATTATGCCCTGTCCCAAAATGGTTTTCAAACGCATGCAATGTCATAGCAGTTTGAATCTTGCAGGGTGGGGGATGCTATTCCAAATGGTTTCTTTGATTCCATCATGACACTGTGTAATGGATGAGCCAGGAAGCAGGCCTATTCTGATCTTACAGAGCAAGAAATGATGGGAGAGAGATGGTGTCTTCATATAGCTGCATGGGAGGTGACCAAGGAGTCATGAATGAGATGGATTCCAAGTCCAGGAAAAATTTCAGATGAATCTTCCTAGTCACAGCAGCTACCTACAGTACTTTTTGAGGAAAACTGTGAGTCCAGACGGATCCCTAATTCTAATCAGTTCTTTATGAGGAAAAAACAGAATCAAGATGGAGACTCGCTAGCATCAGAAACAAGCATGCATCCATAGCCACTTGGTCATGTCAAAGATTTTTTTTAAACCATATATTTTTATTAATACATTTTTCAAACGTATCTGCATAAAATAATGTAAAATAAAAAATGAAACCATTGAAAATCAAATAATCTCTGGGTATTGAGAAAAGATCTCAACAAATCACTTGGTTAACCAGATGTTGAGATACATAGCTAGGTATCAACATATTGATGATACTTGACCATATATTGATAGATAGCTTCATTAAGTGGCTTTATGGACATACAAAACAAGAACTTAAGAAAGTCACCCCACAAACTTCAGGTTGTGCCTTTCCCCACCTATCAACCCTGATTGGAACTGGCTGCAGAGAAAGAGAACCACAGATCAAAAGTCTTATTTGGAAGACTATGTTCTTTTGTTATATTTTAATGCCTTTTAAAAGACCCAATCAAACAAAATGAACCAGACTTTTGCAATCTGGCTTCTTCCAGCTACTGCAAACTACAATTCTCATTACCATAAGACAGGATGGTCCATGATGATGGATGTTGCCCTGAAAAAAATTGAAAGGGAGCCAGGTTAAAGAAATCTAGGCTGAAAGGGCCTATTGTCTGACTTATTATAATTTTATATAATTATGTGTGATCTTAATAAATTCTGAACTTGAAAAAAAACAGTTAAATTTCTGTAACAGAAACATTTTTTCTGCAAGAATAACAAGTACCAAATTACATATGAAAATAAGTGCTGTTAATATTATCACGGTTGTAAAATATGTAAACAAGATAGATAAAATAATCAGACATCAAAAAAATCTTTGCTAGTTGTTTGCTAACTTGGCTGGTTTGCCAACATTTAAGTTAAGCCTATTGTCTAGGAAATACTGTAATGTAAATTACTGCTTCATTTACCAATTGAAAGGCAAAGTTTGATTTTTATTCTTCTTGTTAAATTGGGCCTTATGAGGATTCCATTGCAGTATTGCTAAAGATTGGCCTGTTGTTGAATGCTACTCTAGAAACCGTAGATACAGTTTCAAAGTACAGGATGCTTTGCAGTGATTCAGCATTCATTTTGAATACCTGTCTTAGCTCAGGTGTTTCAAAGACCATTTTGTATGTTACATTCTAGTAACAATGAGAGGTGGGGGGATCATTTTCATTTCTAGAGACTTGTATTAAAAGAAAAACAAGATTCAAGAAAAAAAATGTAGAAGATAATTTCTATTCGAAGCCTAATTGGAATCCAGACTAAGATGTAATTCATTTCTTTGGCAATATACTGCATTCTGCTTTGAATTGTGTAAATGTTTGCATTTACAATCAAAATCAGCATCTGTAAAAATTTGCCTGTGCAGTATAACAACCTGTGAAAACTGAGAAGATGCTGTAATTCTTCACCATAGAGGTTTAATGCAATTTATTGAAAGTAGTTTTACTTACGCATATTCAGCATTCATAATACATCAAACCCCACAGATGCAGTTTTCTCTATAAGTTTAAAATGAACCTATTTCCCTAGTGATACTGATAAAAAGTCTTAGGTTATCCTCTAATCAATTAAATGTAAATGTTTTCATCAAAGTATAGAATTCCAACCATCCCGTTGGGTCTGTGTAAAGTTTGTACAGCGTATCAACTTTTTTTGCCAATCAGCTATAGTCTCTTCATAACTAAAATTTAATGTCAATTAAATTTTACCTCCACCTTTAGTGAGTCAATTATTGCAAAAGGGGGGGGGATCAGCTGACATACTGCTTCATGTGTCTAGTTCTAAATCCCTATGTAGATGAAATCAAGAAACCAATTCCATTTAAAAACTAAAACTACCTTAATTAATATAAATTATAGTAACAGAATCTTGCAGGTCAGACTGTTCTTTACTTTCCCCTCCCCAGCTTATCATTATGTGAATTAGGGAGTTCTGCCTGAGCTGCTTACCCATAATTCTTGTTTTAGACCTAAGCCATCTTTTTCCCATTGTCACTTTGGTAACAGACCTGACTTATGTCTATCAAGATCATCTTCCTTACACTCTCTACAAGTACCCAAGAAAAATCCTAAAAGGTAACAGGCCAGAGCATCCATAGAGTTCAGACTGAAATAAATAAATCTTGCCATCTCAGTGTCCTTCAACTAGAACTTGAGGCATCACCCTGAACTCCTCCTTGTGAAACAGCAACAAAAAAGCACACTAAGGTTGGAGGACTACTTTCCTCTTATAGTCTACTGAGGCCAGCTCAAGGCCAAGATGTTTTTCAGTGGCAAGAAAAAGACTGACCAAGTCTGATGTCCACCCGTCAGCAGATGCCAGCACGAAGCAGACTCCAATTAGCCACCAGAAGAGCCAAGCAGCTTGCTGCAGCCCCAGCCAGAAATCAACATCAGTTTGGAGGAATTCCAAGGAGTGATGGAGTTTGCGCAGGGATCCAGGAAGAAGCGTCTACCAGACCCACAATCCTCACTATATTGAGCCAAAAGGGGAACTGCATTGCATTGAATTGCAATCCTCCCTGCACCACAACAGTCTCCATATTGTCCTCTGCACTGGTTCCTGCTGTTCTTTGGAGTCCTCTTCCAAGCCAAGAGCTAAGAGAGAACAAATAATTAAATCTAGACACTCAGGCAATTAATAAAGAGAGGAAACAGGCAGCCTGAAATTCATTTTCTGCTCCCCAAGTACACATTTTTTCCAGATATTCCTTCTTGAAATATATTATAGTACATCTGAAAAACAAGATTGGGCCTAAGGGTCCAATCCTTCCCCACTAACCTGGTGCAGATCAGGTGATGTCCCTGGGATGCAGCCAAAACTTGAGCTCATAGCCAGTTATAACTTCTTGATCCAGAGAGGAACTGCTTCAAAGCAAGTGTTCAAATAGCATTTCCTCAGGAAAAGGTAATTGCATTAGCTTCAGCAAATGCTTATGGGAAGAGGAAAGACCTTACTTGAGGTCTTTATTCCTGTGCTAATAGCTTTTCGACAATGATGACTAGTGAATGGGGGAGGATCCAATATCGTCCATCCTTTCACTGAAGAACAAGCACTTCTTTTATCAACTTGGCTCCATGGATGATTTGGTAACTGGCTTTTTAAAATCAAACTCTTCTTCAATGAACTTAATGATTGGCCTTCTTGTTTCTCTCACATTTAGCAGAATTAGTGCACAGTTTTCTTTCTGTTGTCAAGATTCTCAGCAAATATTCAAAAGAAATGTCTTCTTGCCTGTCTGAATATCCAGACATGTGCAATAACCCTCCGTTCCTTTTGTCACTTTATGCTAGACAATAAAAACAAACAAACAAGATTGAAGTCATGGATCTCTTTACTCAACTCACATTTATAAAAGTTAGAACATGATGTATTCATTTCCAAGATGGGCAAAACTGAAGGCACTCTTGATATCCGTTGCCATACAGATATTGCCAAACCTGCTTTCACTATAATTTAACTCTAATTTTCTGCAAAGTTAGTGAAGAATAATTTCCCATGGGAGAAATTCAATCTTGTACTGTAGTGACTATTAGATTGTTAAGATGTTAGAATTTCTAAACTGAAATCCAAGATACAGCATGGAAAGGATGTTGAGATCATTCGGGTAGCAGAATAACAGAGAGCAGCAATCCATGTTAAATGATAAATGTTCCTATTCAACTTCTAATGGAGAGAATAACAATGAAATACAGCAATAATTTGTTCTTGTTCTTGTTTTATGTAATGATAAGGTGGGTTTCCTGCCTACCCAGATCTAAAGCAGAATTTTATCTGATTTGTTTAATAATTTCCTGAATTTCTACCATATTGAAACTGTTTAATCCATCATATATGAAAAATACTGATTTTTGCAGACCAAACATCAGCACTGAAAAAAAATTAATATGGAACTTGATAGCCTCTAAGCTATTATCAATAACAATATGAACTTTTCCCAAAATTTTTGCTACACTGTAACAGTGAATTCATAGTCAAAGTTGTAAACAGGTAGAGTTCATTTTTTGCAATATGCACAAACAAAAATCACAGGTTTCAATTATTTTACCAAATAACTTTTCTATATACATGTTGCAGTTAATTGAATTTATAAATGCATTTGGTAGTTTAAAATATTTTTATTACTTTGGCCAGCATTAAACTTTCAAACCACTTTTCAGCATTTAAGCATTTAGCTTTAATCAAGGGGAGAAACAACCTGGAACTAAGAAGAAGCTTCCTAACAGTGACAACAATTAACCAATGGAACAGCTTGCCTTCTGGAAGTTGTAGGTACTTCATCACTGGAGGCTTTTAAGATGGACAGCCACTTGTCTGGAATGGTATAGGGCAAGGGTAGGCAACCTTGGCTCTTTTATCACTCATGGACTTCAATTCCCAGAATTCCTGAGCCAGCATGGAGAAACTTTGGCCCCTTCATGACTTGTGGACTTCAACTCCCAGAATTCCTGAGCCAGCCATGGCTAAGCATGGAAACCTCTCCCTTTCCCCTCAGCATGGCTGGCTCAGGAATTCTGGGAGTTGAAGTCCACGAGTCATAAAAGAGCCAAGGTTGCCTACCTCTGGTATAGGGTCTCCTGCTTGAGCAGGGGGTTGGACTAGAAGACCTCCAAGGTCATGTGCAGTTTTATTCTGATTGACTGAAGCTGTTGGATAGGTCTGGATGTCCTAGGTCAGGCAACCTTGGCTCTTTTAGGACTCGTGGACTTCAACTCCCAGAATTCCTGAGCCAGCCATTGTATATTAGTCAGCTTAACCCATCAAGTAATAGAAAGGAGGCCTAAGAAGATCAGGAATTGGACAAAAAGCTGAAAAGCTAGAGCAGTGTTTCCCAAACTTGACAATTTTAAGGCATGTGGACTTCAACTCCCAGAATTTCACAGCCAGCATTGCTGGCTGTGGAATTCTGGGAGTTGAAGTCCTCATGCCTTAAAATTGTCAAGTTTGGGAAACACTGAGCTAGAGTTTACTTTTACCTTTAAAATTATGACAAATTAACTCTACACAAATTTGTAAAATGGATCTCTTTTGAATTAGCAAAGTATCTACTGTTTCTTCCGAGAAAAGGAGTGTTTTTAATGAATTTAAAAAATCTGCAACAAAAATACATTTCATGAAAACAATTAAAGTTTATTTTTCTGCCACCTACAAATAGGACCTATACTGTTCAGATTTTGGGAGAGATTTCCTCATAGCAGGAAGCAGTTGCATATTAATTCCTGGTTCCCTGAAATTTAAGTTAATTATTTCTTTATAAACATACACACCACAGACACACACAGAGGGGGGGGGTAGTGGGTCAAACTATCAAGATGCACAACCAAAACATAAAGAACAGTTGAAGAGTTTTTTGATTAATGTACATATTACTTTTGTTGCTATTTTTTCACTATGTGTATATATCTGGTTGAACAGAATCCATACCTAATACTGGTCTAATTTGCTAGATTTGTAGCTTGTCTTTGTTTGTGAAAGATGATTGTCTTTGACACATATGATGAGTTTGATGAATCAGAGGCCAAACCTCCATACCTAGAGCATATGATTATGGGACTGTTTTTAAAAATACTCAACTAAAGTCAGAATGATGTATAATCATGATATTTCATTCTCGGGGAAGGGTGAGGTTAGGGAGAAGGTTTATTGTTATATGGGCTCCAGTCACTTTCTACTAATTGCAAAAAAAGGAATCAGTAATTTTTTCTATAATCATTACATTTGTTCATATTTTGTTCCAGCTTATTTTAGCATCTATTTATTTATTTATTTAGACCTGAAAATTTACATTCTGTGTACATTTTCATAAGCATTGAAAATAGAAATGGGTAATTTATCAGTTATGCTTATTCTCCTTTTCTCAACTCTAAGTTTCTCCCAATAAAAATATTTTCATACTCATTTAGCAGATTTCATCCTACAAATTATTTACCTACTAATCCTTTCACACCTATATTCAATAAAATATCTGCCTCCCTAATCTACTGCTTATTTAAACACATTCATGCATATCAAAATGTACTTTTCTACATATGCTGTGAGTATTTCTTATTAACATATTGGCAATTCATGAGTTAACATAACTGGTAAAACCATATAGATAATATGCTAAACACAAAAACATTCCATACTCAGAAGAAAACAGGTGACCTTCAAAATATAAACTGCAAAAGATTCTCTCCAAGGAGATTAGCTGCAAAATTTATATTATAGTTTTCCCTACTTGTAAAGTATATCAGTACTAGCAGTTTTCTACTGTTTGAATGCCTGGTTTTTCAATCAAGGTGGTTAGATCTGTGTATCTTGGGAATAATACTTTAGATAGTTCTGTGATTCTCTGCTTTTATTATTTTTATTATTGTTACTTTTAATAATAATACATAATAATAAAAATAAATAATTACTTTTATTCTTCTTCTCTGTTTTAAGAACAAAGACTGTTCTTCCTACATCAATTCAGAAAGCTCAGATTGCCCAAGGATTTGCTGATACAGTTCTAGAGAGGAATTATTGAGTCTGTCAATTGTACCTCACTAACAGTCTGGTTTGACACAGCAACCAAACAGGACAGATGCAAACTTCAATAGATAGTTAGGAATGCAGACAAAGCAGTTGCAACCAGCCTGCCTTCCACTGAGGATCTGGATATTGCACGAACCAGAAAGAGGGATGAGAAAATATCTAGAGCAGTGGTTCTCAACCTGTGGGTCGGGACCCCATTTGGGGTCAAACGACCATTTCACGGGGGTCACCAAACAACACAGTCTGCCATTTTTTCCCCCTTTTCCTTAACTGTGCTATTCCCTTTTATTCTATTGGCTTTCAAAAGCCAATAGGAATTGTCCAGGCTGTCTCTGCCTTGCTGAGCCCGCCAAAAGTCCCATTCTGCAAACGGTGCTGCACCAGTTGAGTAGTCCTCGACTTACGACTGGTTGGGGGTCACGGCATTAAAAAGGTTGAGAACCACTGATCTAGAGACTCCTCACATCCTGGACATAATCTGTTTCAACTTCTCCCCTCAGGATGCCACTGTAGGGCATTGCATGTCAAAACAACTAGACGCAAAGATAGTTTGGGATAGAGGCTCAGCTTATAATCAATATAGGTTGCTTAAATTCCAACATCTGCAAGCAGGAAATGAAAGGAAACAGATGCAAGAGCATATTTGCTCAGTTACTGCTTCCAGTGTGAATCATGGCTACTTGAAGACCTCTGCGAATGAGTGGAGATATCAACTACAGTGAAGAACAAAAGGCTGGGAACTAGATCGGTCCTTCAAATCTCTCTGGAAAAAAACAGAACAGGAGATCACTCACAAGTGCTTTGAATGGCAGCTCCTCATGAAGAGACCATAAAACAGCATAAAATATGCCTCGGCAGCATCAGAGCCTTTAATAAGGACACCAAGCCAATCAAACTCACTTTCTCATCACATTTGGAAATGTTCCTTTTAGCCACTTTATGAATAATAGAGATTTTCAAAGCAGCAAAGCTTAATTTGATATCTGATGGGTTTTACCTTCTTCTTTGGATTTAAACAAAATTAAACAGAGACTTGAGAATTTAAAATAATATACAATTGGCAAGATGCAAAAAAAAAAAAAAGGGTTTGGATTTAAGAAAGTTTTAAAGGGCCTGGGAGACCAGAAGGATTTGGAATACTGGTTATTTTTGCTGTAAGATTTGAAAAACAACTATGTAATTAAATAATATATACTCGGAAACAACTGAAACGGAACTAAACCCATATTAGGAACTGGGGCTTGATGAAGTTAACAAATGGACACTAGAGGGAACTGAAGGACCAGGCAGAAAGAGTTAAAATAGCTAAGGCAGCTATACATTTTTCTTTTCTTAAAGAGTTTTTTGAAAACCGGATTGAGATATTAATAAAGAATATCTCAAAATGTTTTAGAAGATGATGAGAAAAATGCTACAAAAACTTTTTACCTGACACAGACATTACAGAGTGTGAAAGCATGGATGACAGCAACCAAAAATATCAAAAGGCAAATCTAGAAATGGATCTATACATGGAATAGCTGCAACCCAAAATTCTGGATGATGCTGGGAAGAAAAGGATGTGGACATGCTACAGATGTGACAAGAAATCCTGGACAATGCCTCTTTATGAGACTCTTTGATCGGGGATAAATTATTTGTTTGATACTGCCAAATCAGGACTGAAAAGACACAATTTCCAATTCTATATAGATTTTATTTATTTATTTATTTTCATTTGAAATATTTATATAGCCACCCATCTTCTAACCAGCTCTGGATGGCTGCCAA